GGGTTCAATCCCAGTCGGCGCCGCCGGGATGTTCTGAGGCATAACATCTCCGTTGGTCCCCGGTTCATGAGTTGATGAGTCGATAGGTAGGGTCCAGGTGTGGGAGCTGCCTCCCTGGCGTCGGTAGCATTGGTGCTCAGCACACAGGGGTTGAAACTGTTGACGTTTTTTACGATACTCACTTCGTTGTCATGCGCGACAGTCTGTTTTTATCCGTACTCTCATGCTCTACCGTCGTCTCTCTCACACAACACAACCGATAGAATAACATTCGAGCAAAAAGAAAATTTTCAAATAACTATCATATGACATGAGTGATTTCGTTCAAATTCCTCAGTTTAGTGTAAATTAAACCATTTCTGATCAGAAATGTTATTCCTAGGACATCATTGCTTGCTATTTTCAGAATTCACACAAGCACAACATCAGCAGCTCTTATTATGAGAAAAACTAAAATACATACATTCGTGACGGTCTTCGGCGCCAGTATCGTACGACAGAGCCTGTCAAATGATATTTGAGTTTGGTACTGTACTATGATAGCTTGTTTTGCAAGTGTCGGAGGCAAAGGCAGTCGATTATCACAGAAAATGTGTCGACTACCGTGACCGCTTACAAGACTGCTCAGCACGGAAAACAAGATCGACGGAAAACAAATCAACGAAAAAAAATACACCCCGAACACGTCGTTAAGCTTTCTTCTATGGTTATTTTTCTTAGGGATATAAGTTGATTTCGACGGTCGTGTGCCTTATAAAATTAAATAATAATTATGAGACGAACCAGCTAAAGGCAGAAAGTCTCTATAATACAGCAAAAGAGAAGAAGAAGTTAAATAATATTTAAAAAACATACTGATTAATTTTAAATCTTATAAAATTATGTTGATGCACGAGGAATTATAGTCAACTAATATAGTTAATTTTACGCGATGACAGCAGCCTGACGTAACTGATAATATTGTTGTTCTCAGTGGGTAGGTAACTGTAAAAGTTCATAAATGAATTGAAAAAAAAAATCAGTCCATCAGAAACTTGAAAATGGTGTTTCTCCCCAAAACCTATGAACAGAATCATTCTTCAGTTAATTACCCAAACATTGCATCACTTCCTACAGTGCATTTTAGCAATTACCAGTTACCATGTAGCAAATACCAAAATTTCATCCAATTCAGGATCCACTGCAATGAATGTTTACATAACTAGGCAATGTTGTTTATTGTGTCGCCAGCTTCGGACGGAAGATACGATTAGCTGCATGCATGACGAATGTAAACATTCGTGTTAGCTATAAATTGCAGAGCTTTTTACTCACTGGCTGTTTTGTATTTCTTAACATTAGAGGATTTTCTAAATACTTCGCTTACGGACATGGAATATTGACACTTGGCTACGGGATTTTTCTGTAGAGCGACCAAATAAGATGTTAATGTAGATAATGTTTCACGCATCCAGTGACGTTTGCTTATCGGATTTTCTAATAGGGGTAAAGAGCTGCAGAAGCTTTGTAGACGCGAATTGGTAGAGTGAAAAGGCAAAGAAACCATCCGCTATGTTACTCGAAACTTACATTTGATTATGGAATTTTTCTACAGGAGTAAAGAGTTGTAGAATAGTCGTCTACGCAAATGCTTTTACCGATACCAATATAAAGTCATCATATAAGTTTCGTAGGCCATAATTAAAAACAAGTCTCTTGATGATGTCCTTAAAGTTCGGTCCATAGTTTTAAAGCGTAAATTACGTTAAAACACATTGCAAGTGAAACTTACTTACCTTACCAATCAGGCCTTGCTGTCCTCTGCTGTCCGAAGAAGTCGTCTCCACTCTACTCGATCCATGGCCACAGTTCCCCAGCCTCGTAGTCTGCGAAGTGTCCGCAGGTCACCTTCTACTTGGTCGATCCACCTTGCCCGCTGCGCGCCTCTTCTTCTTGTTCCGGTTGGGTCGCTTTCTAGAACCATTTTCACTGGGTCGTCGTGCGGCATTCTTACGACGTGCCCAGCCCACCGTAGTCGCCCAATTTTTGCAATGTGGACGATGGATGGTTCTCCCAGCAGCTGGTGCAATTCGTGGTTCATTCGCCTCCTCCACGTTCCGTCATCCATCTGCACTCCACCGTAGATGGTACGCAACACCTTCCGTTCGAAAACACCAAGGGCGTGTTGGTCCTCCACGAGCATAGTCCAGGTCTCGCGGCCGTAAAGGACCACCGGTCTAATCAGCGTCCTGTAGACAGTCAACTTCGTGCGGCGGCGAATTTTATTCGACCGGAGCGTCCTCCGGAGTCCAAAGTAGGCACGATTCCCTGCCATAATGCGTCTTTGAATTTCTCTGCTGGTATCATTTTCGGCGGTCACCAGTGAGCCCAAATACACGAACTCATCGACCACCTCGATTTCGTCACCGTCAATCTGAACTCGGGGTGGGAGGCTAACATTGTCTTCCCTAGAACCTCTTGCTTTCATGTATTTTGTCTTTGATGCGTTGATGGCAAGTCCAATCCGCCTAGCTTCAGCCTTCAGTCGGATGTACGTTTCCGCCATCATCTCAAAGTTCCATGCCATCATGTCAATGTCATCGGTGAAGCCAAGAAGCTGGATGGACCTCATGAAGATCGTGCCACTCGTGTCTATCCCAGCTCTTCTGATCACACCTTCTAACGCGATGTTGAATAGCAGACACGAAAGTCCATCACCTTGCCGTAACCCCTTCGAGATTCAAAGGGACTCGAGAGTGTCCCCGATACTCGAACAACGCACATCACTCGATTCATCGTCGCCTTGACCAATCGCGTCAGTTTATTCGAAAGTCCGCACTCGTGCATAGTCTGCCATAGCTGATCTCGATCGATTGTGTCGTATGCGGATTTGAAATCGATGAACAAATGATGTGTGGGCACGTTATATTCGCGGCATTTCTGCAGAACCTGCCGAATCGCGAAAATTTGGTCCGTGGTAGCGCGGGCACCCATGAATCCCGCCTGGTATTGCCCCACGAACTCTGTTGCATATGGTGACAGACGGCGGCATAGAATTTGGGAGAGTACTTTGTAGGCGGCGCTCAGCAGTGTGATCGCGCAGTAGTTGCAGCAATCCAACTTGTCGTCCTTTTTGTAGATTGGGCATACGACACCTTCCATCCACTCCTCTGGTAATATATCCTCCTCCCAAATCTTGGCAATTACCCAGTGCAGCGCTCTAGCCAGTGCTTCACCACCGTATTTCAATAGCTCACTTGGTAGTTGATCTACACCAGTTGCTTTGTTGTTTTTCAGCCGACCGATCTCCTCCTCAACTTCTTGAAGATCAGGGACCGGTAGCCTGTCGTCTTCTGCGCGTGCTCCAAGGTCTGTTGCCGTGCCACCGTGTTCTGCTGCTTCACCGTTGAGGTGCTCGTCATAGTACTGCTTCCACCTCTCAATCACCTCACACTCGTTCGTGAGAAGGTTACCGTCCAAGTCCTTGCACATATCGGCTTGCGGCACGTAGCCTTTGCGCGAACTATTTAGCTTCTCATAGAACTTCCGTGTGTCGTTTACGCGGTACAGATTTTCCTTCGCCTCGCGATCTCGGTCTTCCTGCTGACGCTTCTTCCTTCGGAAAACCGAAATTTGTCTGTTCCGCGCTTGTCTGTATCGCTCCACATTCAATCTCGTGCGGTGTTGCAGCATTCTCGCCCGTGCTGCATTCTTCTCCTCTACTAACAGTTTGCATTCGCCGTCAAACCAGTCATTTCTTCGGTCCGGGATTGCAGTACCTAGTGCCGCTGCAGCAGTACTACCTATGGCTGAACGGATGTCCCTCCAGCCACCTTCAAGAGAAGCTGCGCCAAGCTGCTCTTCCGTGGGTAGTGCAACTTCCAGCTGCTGCGCGTAGTCCTGGGCAACTCCGGTGTCCCGTAGTTGCTCAATGTTGGGTCAAGGCGTTCGACTTCGACGTGTGTTATGCACCGTCGAGAGTTTTGAGCGCATGCATACTGCAACTAGGTAGTGGTCCGAATCTATGTTCGCACTGCGGTACGTGCGGACGTTGATAATGTCGGAGAAGAATTTCACGTCGATTAGAACGTGATCGATTTGGTTTTCTGTGTGTTGGTCAGGTGATCTCCAGGTGGCTTTGTGGATATCCTTGCGGGGGAAAAAGGTACTTCGAACTACCATACCCCGGGAGGCTGCAAAGTTCACACATCGTTGGCCGTTGTCGTTCGATACGGCATGCAGGCTGTTTGGCCCGGTCTATACATTGCCTCTCGTCCTACCTGAGCGTTCATGTCGCCGATGACGATTTTGACGTCCCGTTGAGAAACAGCCGTCGTACACCTGCTCCAGCTGCGCATAGAACGCTTCTTTCTCGTCGTCGGGTCTCTCTTCGTGTGGGCAGTGCACGTTGATGATGCTGTAGTTGAAGAAACGGCCCTTAATCCTCAACTTGCACATCCTCGCGTTGATCGGCTGCCAACCAATCACGCGTTGGTGCATCTTACCCAGCACTACAAAGCCGGTAGAAAGTAGCCGCTCGATGCCCGCTTTTCCATACCTTTTGTCCCGTCCAGCAAAGTTCCTGCAGTGCTACGACTTCGAAGTTGCGTGGTTAAAGTTCGTCATAAATCGAAAAATATTACAATTTCACAAAACTTTTTCTCTAAAAAAGAGCAATAAATGTACTAAATTTGTCCCAACAACAGGCAACTCATTTACGGATTACATTTTCACAGCAGATGTGATATTAGTTTTTCGTTACTATTCTGAATTACTGCTGAATAAATTCGTTATTTGCTTGATAGGCCGAAGTGAGGGGCTATGCTGACATTACATCCCATTACCCTATCAAGGCAATTTTTTTTAATGAATGAAAATTATAAGACGAATTGTGTTTATTGGGAGTGTAAAAAGTGCCATGGTCTCATAAACTTGCTGTGATCAAGTTTCAAATTTATTTATTTTTTTGGAAATGCTTTCAAACAATTTCAGCCCACAGTCGACCAACTCCGAATACTCACCTAAAAGTGGAACAGCATCCGACGTGGCTGGCATTGTTTCAGCAACCATGTTTAAAAATACAGTCAATGATAATAAAATTGTTACACCTGGACGGTCACGCGAAGAGGGTCGTATTTGTTCCATTCCGTTCCGTTCCGTTCGGATCCCCGAGTGCACCGTATAAAAAGAGGATAAAGCGCGCGCATAAAATTGAAACAAAGATAACCGGAGAAATGGAAGCAGACAGAAATACGGGTAATTAATCCTCGGATGCTGGAAAAGTGAGGACTGAGGACAGGATAGGAATGGAGAAGAACGCCATCGTCATCGGGGTCAGCTGCAGTCAGGTTGGGTCAATTATCGTCAACGGGGAAAATGCTTGCACAATATGTAGGTACCTAGGTATAACGAAAAAAATATCACAACAACATTTCAATTTGATGCTTAAACCATAAAAGACGCAAAAAAAAGCACTTTCCGACTGACGACACTTCGTGGAACCGAAAGCAATTTCCAGCTGCCCCGATTCAGAGTGCTCCCCCGGGAGAAATATGTGCATGAACATTCAAGCGAATCGTTCTGATCAGATAATGGAATTGTTTAAGGGAGGGGTGATGGATGCCCACACTGTCCGAACCTAATGATAACTTTTCTCCGGAATCCGGCGGTAGTGTGAATCCGAGCAGTGCCATCGACGCTATCAGCACGCACGGGACGATCAAATTAAAAAAATAGTACAACGTCCGCCGCCGAATGATGATGGCAAATGTGATATCTATGTAAGGCTCCGGACAGCAGTTGTAGTAGATTTCGTTACGCTTCCCAGGGACACCTGCAAGAAAAATAAAGAAAAGGATGATTAAAATCATTAGCTGGGGCAATTTGAGATGAAGTGTAACTGTGGTGTTGATTTCCGCCGAGGAGTACACTTTTCACTGCACCAAAGCGGTAAACATGTGAAGGAGCTACAGTTGAACGCTTAGCCCTTTAACCTCCTTTGATGTTTTGTTTTTCATGGAAGCATCTCAAATTTTCTCAGAAAATATCCTCTTCTTAGGGAGCGTCCAAAATTACGTCACGCGTCTAGGGGGGGAGGGGGTTTCAGAAAATGTGACCAAATGTGACAAGTGGGGGAGGGGGTGTTTGTTCAGCCGTGACGTCACATCAACATGTATTTTTGTTTAAATTTCTGATATCTTAAATATAGCATGAGTACATTAAAGTACAGAAAATAGACGTTGAAACTGGGGAAAATTTGATTGAAAACTCGTATAAATATTTTCAATGCGTTCAAGCTTCGCCAACACCGACCTGCTATCTTAAAAACCCTTTTTGACAACATGATGGCACTAGCGTTGCACAAATTACAAAATGCCACTAGCCCCCTGTGGCAATTTTCAACAAAAAATTGATCGACACTAGTGAAAATATAATCAAAATGGAAAATTTATAGAAGAAATCAGGAGATGCTAGCACCACTTCATGGCAATGTTTCCACTTAACTATAAACTAGTTTCTGACTAAGCTTGGACGTCTGTTTTCTGTAATTTAAATGAGTCAAAATAAAATCACAACATTTCAACATCGATGAATTGGTGTTATTTTCCTAAGTCATTAATGAATTTTTATCACAAAAATTATTAACTTAATATTAAAGGATTTTTTTTGTTCTTTCAATTGGAAGTGTATGTTTGCCCGATTTACTTTTGATCGTGAGAAATCAACGATTAAAGTCATTGATTACATTTCTATACCTGCATTTATCGACTCTCTTCAATGACTTTCTCTATTGATACCCACGGCTATGCATACAACTTTCATGCTGTTTGCGCGTCCAAATCGTTAAATATTAAAAAAAAATATTTTTGCAGCTGAGTTATTAATGAAAGAGAAAGTCTTTTTCATCGACCAATGTAGATAGGCCCTACACAGCAAAAAAATAATTTTGATATCACGTCAAACTGGATGCACTACAATCATGTCGAAAATATGGTGTAATATTACTTGCTAAAAACGGACAAAATTATCATTAATACAATGCATGAACTGACATTACGCTGCTTTTACTGCATTTGTTTATTTATGTGGTCATAAAAATTACATGAAATTTTCGACATGATTGTAGTGCATCCACTTTGATGTGATATCAAAATAATTTTTTGCTGTGTATTTCCAGCTCAATATCGATTTGATGACCTACTGCAAACACAGTGAGTGAACTTTTTTGCTTCTAAATGCATTCCACAACTTGTTTGATACATGAAAGGCGTCGTTCGGAATCGAAAGCTTATTCTAACATTTATACAAAAGGAATATATTTGAATTAAGAAAAAAAAAGTTTGTGGCAGTAAAAAGTTATAATCTACTTACGATGAAAAAAATCGAAGTCGCCCATTGCTACCTTGTTTTGTTTTGTGAATGACAGTTGAAGCAAATCAAGAGCAAATTTTCATTACGTCGAATGTAACAAAGGTAAACAAAGTCGAGCTATCAGTGTCAATCGATTCTCCTGCTATTACACTATATACTGTCCGAATATAGGATCACATCCCATTTTTAAATTTATTTGCCAGCCAAATTGCTTTTTGACGTAATCACCTTCCGATCAAAATAGCTTTCGATGTTACTTAAGTCACCCAATTTCTATGGAGATGCCGTTTGACTTAAGTAAAAGCGCTGAGAAACCCGTGAAAAGTGTACGTTCGTCGTTTCGCTTTCTCATTATTAAAGTGAATAAATCGAACTGTTTGTTGCTAAGATGATTTCGGTGGTCCTAAAATGATGAATGGGCTGCACGTAAGGAGACGTAATTGATAATTCTCCCGAATATCCTGGTAAATACACTTTGACTAAAGTAACAATAGGGGCCACCAAACGACGTTTAATAACTTTTGACTCAAAAACCAGTATTTTTTAGCATGAAAGCTAGCGATTTGCATTTGTATGATTAAAACCCTGCTAAATATGTTAAACATTGCTATCACTATGAGATTATATGTGTTTACTTGGAAATAGGAATAACTTTTCGGTCATCAAAACAAAACTTTATTTTTCTCGGATTGGTGCGAATGTTACTTACGACATAATGAAAAGTTGCTCTTGAAATGCTCGTTCATTCAGTTTTCGCTAATGTCGTTTTCGTTTTTGCGGTGTAGCACTGGTGTAGTGTAAGCAGGAATAAGCGCGAGTCTTTGACAGCTCAACATCATTTGTTTGTAAACAAAGGTGCATCCTATATCTACACCCTAAAATATTTCGGTGTACGGCAGTGTAGCACCGGTGTAGCTACACCGCAAAAACGAAAACGACATAAGAGAAAGAGGAGACAACTGGCTTTTTTTAGATATACCGTGTTCTTGTTTTCTCGCGACCGTGCCAAAACGAACACATTCTGGGAGACACGACTGACTGTCAAAATACAAGAAAAAAGATTCCCTATTGTGAAAATGCTCGGGTTTGTTTACGTCCGCTCGGCATACGTAAACTTTAAAACGACCAATCAGGAGTTGGTTCGCGTTTGACAGAAAAGTGTTTTTGTTTTCGCCCCCCTATTGTCTCAGAGTTTTTGTTTCGAATTGGTGCAAAGTGCAGTTTAATGTGTGACCATTCAAGATTGCTGAACTCATTTTAAAACTTGATTCAAAACATTGGATCATGGATCGCGGAGACCTGTTTCGTTCACTGTACAATGCCTTTGTGAAGGCTTTCCCGGACAAGAAAAAGCAACAATCAGGCATGGTAAATCATTTGCATTCATTTCGTGCATTCATTTACATTCATTTGTCCCTAACTTTTTTCATCAACAGAATTCCACAAAAGGATGTATGGAGTTTTTGTAGGCTTTGTTATTAGCTACAACTTTTGTTAGCAACTTAAATCCGTATCTCTTATGCATGATGAACCAGAGCGAACAGAAGCCACTACTGTTTTTCAGTGAATGTATTTAACATTCACTGAAAAACAGTAACAAGTTCTGCCCGCTCTAGTTCGTGATGCATAAGAGATACAGATTTGAGTTATGGACAAAAGTTGTAGCTAATAACAAAACCTACTAAAGCTCTATATATCATTTCGCGGAATACTGTTGATGAAAAAAGTTAGAGGCAAATGAATGTAAATGAATGCATGAAATGAATGTAAATGATTTTCCATGCCTGGCAACAATGCCAGGCTGATGCCGTTGGATTTTGGAATGAATGGAAGGATAAGGATAACGAGGTGCTTGAAGCTAAAGTTAAAGATAAAATTAAAGAATTAGAGGGACTTTTGCTGAAAAAGCAGGGTAAGCTGCTCCAGTTCTGGGGAAAATCTCTAAGCGCAGCTAAAGAATCCGTCGTGACACCAGTATCTGTACCAAAACCCGCTTCCTCAACAAAGGAACCGGATGACACCACACAAGCTTCAACATCGAGTGCTATGAAACGCCCTGCACCAGCTCAGGAAAACCTCAAGGCGCAGCTCAACGATGTGAATTCCCAAGTTGTGTTTTTGTCTGACAGAAAATCTTCTGGATTGTTGACGGATGATGAGCATGTGAAACTTGAAAATCTGAAGAATAAAAAAATGAAACTGGAAAAGGCTATAAAACTGAAAGCAAACGAACAAGAACGACAGCAGAAACACCGAGATAAAACGAAGCAAGCAAAGTTGCAGTTGATCAAAGACATCCCTGAAGCAGGTAAATATTTTTAAAATTATTTCTTTCGTTTGCATGATAGGTCAAAAAATGCTAAATAAAAAACAAAATAATATAATTCCAGGAAATTATTTTTCGGTTCGGAGTTCACCAGGACGTCCACGTGTAGAAGAGGAGCAGCCAGATTTGCTTAAAGCTATATGTGACATAGCATTGCATGGATCCGCTGCACACGACAGACGTCATGACGAAAGCGTTAGGAGTGTCAAGACTCTCAACGAGCTGACTGTCGCACTACAAACGAAAGGTTTCAGTATCAAACGATCAGCAACTTATCTACGGCTGATTCCAAAACGAGCTGACTCAAGTGAAGGTAAGCGCCATATCTCTACTGTGCCTGTAAAACTGCTACATGCTAGCAACGCAAAGCATCATGAGCACCCAGATGGCCGCTTCTGCACAGCATCGATCAGAGCACTGGAAGAACTTGCTTCAATTCTCGGCCCCAACGAAACTGGTTTTATCAGTCAGGATGACAAAGCAAGGGTGGCTATTGGTTTAGCGGCTGCCAATAAACAGTCTCCAATGCTTATGCATGTGGAATACAAGATAACACTCCCTGATCATGACTGGGTGGTAGCGAATAAGCACAAGCTTATTCCTTCCGTCTACGCAGGAATTGATATAAAACCAAATGGTCTAGGAAAACCTGAAGCTGTAGGATATTCTGGACCCACCTATATTGCCATACGATCCGGCAAGCATTCGTCATCCACAGCATACTCACATGCTTTAGATTTTGAACGTCTGAGCTCTATTGAACCATTTGAAAACATTTTGAAATTTGATGGTTTGATCAAACCTGTTCTAATTTTCATCGTCGACGGTGGGCCCGATGAAAATCCGCGGTACCAAAAAGTCATCCAGTCAGCCATTCATCACTTCAAAGAACATAACCTCGATGCACTATTTGTTGCAACCAATGCACCGGGTCGTAGCGCCTTCAATAGGGTCGAACGGCGCATGGCACCTTTAAGCAAAGAGCTTGCTGGTTTGATTATTCCTCATGACCACTTTGGTGCCCATTTGGATAGCCAGTTGAGGACCACTGATCCTACTTTGGAGAAGACAAACTTCAAGTACGCTGGAGAGCTACTTGCAGAAGTTTGGAACGACTTGACAATCGATGGCTATCC